CGCACGCGGCATGCTCCCCGCGAGGCTCCAGGCTTCCTCCGCCCACCCTGCACCGCGTCCCGCGAGCTCCGCTGACCAGGCGCATGCGCCCCTCAGGACACTTCTCTCTCCTAGGTCTGCTGCCGCCCTGTCCTGCTCAGCAAGGGCAGCTCCGCGTGCAAGGCGCAGGTGCGGTCTCCATGGCGCCTCCTACGGGAGGACGGGATCGGCAATGTGCGCATGCGGGGAACGCGCGGGCCCCGCCCCGTACCACGCACACCTCTGTCCTTGTGTCCTTCTGCTCAGCACAAGCGGGACGGGTCTGCGCATGCTCTGTGGATGCAGAGGCGCTCAGCCCTGTCCACGTCAGCATGTGTATGTATCTTCACACCTTATTCACAAATGCATGTCCCTAGTGTGTGTGCACACGTGCGCACATGTGTAGACATGCACATCCATGTGCACGCATTAATCTCATTGTATATTCATAGACAATTGCGTCTAGATATAAACATGAACTCTGTATTCCGTGGGATCTAGATAATTCTAACTCAAATGACACTTTAACCACTGGGATAGAAGGGGAAGGGTAGACAGACAGACAGACAGATTATATATATTCACAGTGTACACACACACACACACACACTTCCATCACAGGGCTGGAAGGGGCGGTCTCCATACCCCTCTGAGGGTCTCTGGGGCTGTACGGCAAAGACTCTACTCTGAGTGGAGGCTGTTGGCCTTTCTGCTGTGCCCAGCTCTCTTCAGACATTAGACGGCCCACTGCACAGGACACTCTCAGCGTCACTCATGGGGTCCTGGATACGGTGCTGACCCGTGTCCTGGACACAAGCTGATTTCCTCAATTTTTCTGTGGTGGAGTCTGGAACTGAACACAAGGCAGTCCTGCAATGGAGCCCCTGAACAGATGAGGCCCAGCCTCCTTCCCCAAGTTGAGCCCTCCATGAGCAACCTGGACGGAGCTCCAACAAACACAAGGACCAGGGACGCTCAATCCTGCATGGTTAAACTGAAGTAAGCTCAGCGTGCTTCTCAGGACGCTGTCCTCACATAGACAGCACAGATTCATGGGAACCTACAGTGGACACTCCTGGCCATCGGGAAATGGTGGATCTTCTCAAGAAGGAGATGACATCATCGGGTCTCCCTCCTGCTCTCACCTCCTCCACTCATGACTTGTGGAAAGCTATCCGTGGGCCAGGGGGGCTGTCGGTCCTGGGTGGTGGTGGTTGTGGGCTGACTGGGTCCCACCATCCCAGTTCATAGATCTGACATCAGGCAGAACAGAGGGAACTCATGAGAACATCGCGATCTTCCACCCAACACAGAGGCCATTTGCACTTCTGCTGGGGTGGGATCTGTGCCTGGGTCTAAGGAGTCAGGATGTCCATGGGTAGATTAGCCCAGCAGGTGATAAGGGCAGGGCCATATGCAAATCTCCCAGGCCCCAAGAGTAGAAAGGCCAGGCTCCTCTGACACATACACACGGGCCTCGCCCTCCAGTCTCCAGAGCCACTCGGTCCACATCCCAAGCATGGAGTCGATGTGGAGGCTCCTTCTCCTGCTGATGGTGGCCCCAGGTGAGGACCCCAGGCCAGGGCTGCCGAGGACATGGAGTAGCTCCCGGCCCTAACTCCAGTGTCTCCTTTATAGGAACCTACACCCAGATGCAGCTGGTGCAATCTGGGCCTGAGCTGAAGAAGCTTGGAGAGGCCATGAAGATCTCCTGCAATGCTTCTGGATACACCTTCACAAGCTATGCTATTAACTGGATGCGGCAGGAGCCAAGAGATGGCCTGCAGTGGATGGGGTGGATCAACACTAACACTGGAAATCCAACCTACGCTGAGGGCTTCAAAGGATGATTCATCTTCTCCCTGAGACCTCTGTCAGCACAGCACATCTGCAGATCAGCAGCCTGAAGGCCGAGGACACAGCTGTGTACTACTGTGCAAGACACGGTGAAGAAACCACATCCAGAAGGCATCAGAAACTCTGAGAGAGAAGCTGCTCCTGCTCACCAGACAGCAGCACTAGCTGCACACAGCCTGTGGTGGAGGTTGTGATTTAGAGCTGGGAAAGGTAGGAAAGAGCTTTGCTCATCTGCAGAATATTTTTCCAAGATGTTGACAGGTGGTGGAATGGGAGAGAAATTGATTGCAGCAGGCACTAATTTGTGGAGTAAACATTGCTCCCCTAACAGCTCTCACCATAAAGACACTGAAGAGTCTATAGTGAAATCCTCTCTTAGGAGCTGACACCTCTGACTCCATCGCTTGTAGTGCAAGAACAGGGCAGATCAGACAGCTCACTATGGAGACAGTACAGTGCTCCCTCATGTACAGTAGAGATCACACAGATCAGACAGCTCACTATGGAGACAGTACAGTGCTTCCTCAATACATTAAAAGTAGATCTACTACATGAATCCTGCATATGACTTCAGAGTGTAAAGACAAAGAACAATTCCCTGACTGCCTCAATTCCTTTTTACTCATTCCTTTCAAGGTGCTATTCACAGCAACAGTATTCTCTCATTTTCCTATGTGCCAAGCAAGGGATTACAAAGTAATGATGCTGTTAATATACCTTCCTTGCTGGATATATTGCACTATCAGATGACCAAAAGATTCCACCCAAAGCCTTTGGATATGAGAAGTAATTTTCAGCAACACAGAAAATCAGCATGAAGAATCAGCTCCTTCTCTTTTACCGGTACCCTAGTGAGAAACAAATCAGGAAAACAGCCATTTACAAGACCATCAGAAAATAAATAAAATGCCCAGTATAAATATACCTGGGGACAGAAAGCCCTTTACAATGACAACTCTAAAACGCTGACAAAAAGAATAGAAGGGGACAGTCTTATCAATCAAGGGAGTGGAATGACTTTAAATTACAAGGATGAGAGAACAGACAATGTGAAAATGGCCAAATTACCAAAAGAGGTCTAAAGACTTGATCAACCTCCATCAAAAGCCCTATGGCCTTCTTCCCAGAAATGGAAAATGAAAGTGATGCTAAGAATCACCTGGAAGTACCAAAGACCTAGAGTAAAAGCTGCTGGAAGTGGAACAAAAAATTAACGCCGGGAGCCAGTGGCTCACGCCTGTAATCCTAGCTACTCAGGAGGCTGAGATCTGAGGATCTCGGTTTAAAGCCAGCCCAGGCAGGAAAGTCCATGAAAATCTTATCTCCATTAAACCACTAGAAAACCTGAAGTGGCACTGTGGCTAAAGCGGTAGAGCACTCACCCAGAGCTGAAGAGCTGAGAGATAGCACCCAGGCCCAGAGTTCAAGCCCTATGACCGACAAAAAAATAAAAATAAAATTAAAAACTTAATTCACTGTGGAGAGCTGCGGGAGCCGACCAAAGATGGCGCAGCCACATGGCATGGCCACGACCAAAGATGGCTCTGGCTTCCACCTTCTGCCTTCCCGATGGCGAGTGCTCTCTGTGAAAAACAACTCCTTATATGGCTATGGCTTGGCTACTGGCTTGCTTCCGTGTTTGTGACCCTATTGGTATATGCCACGTGGCACCTCGGGATTGGCCATCCAGGAGGCTTATAACCGGAGTGCGGGTGCGGGGCGAGAGAGAAGCTAACAATCAAGGTTCCTGAATAAACTGCTTTGAGAAGAATCCCGGGTCCTGTCTTCCTTGCTGGTCGAGGTGGATGCGACAAGTGGTGGCCCGTACGGGGACACTAACTCCACAAGGGATCCAGAACTCCTGGCAGTCAGGGTAGTACACTGGTAAGTTCCCAGGTAAGTGGGAATCCGCGATTAAAGCGGGCATAATACGGGGCTCTTCTCTGTAGATAAAGAGAGAGCGGAAACCTGGGAAGAAATGCAGGCCTAAAGTGAAAGTATAAAAAAAAAAAAAAGAGAGTAAAAGAAGATAAAATTTTCATAACTGAGATGGGCGCCGCGACGTCACATCCAATTTTTCTGGCCCTGGATGAGCTCATACACTCAAAAGGACTAAAGTTAAAGAAGGGTATTTTACAGAGTTTCCTTGATGAATGCAACATTGTAGCTCCTTGGTTCATAGTGTCTGGGGGCCTTACAGTAGCCTCGTGGGAAAAATTAGGGAGGGATTTGGACTTTGCCTATGAACAGGGCACATTAAAGGCAGGAGCCCGCACCATTTGGAAACTGATAAGGGGCTGCCTGGAGGACCAGCGCTGCTGTGAGGTTATAGAAAATGGACAGTCAGCACTGGAGCAGTTACAGGAGGAGAGGCCAGAGAAGGCGATCAGTGAAAAGGGAGACAGTGAACAGGGCAAAAGGGGGCAACTATACCCAGATCTGTCCGAGCTAAAATCGGAACGAGGGAGTTCCAGCGAGTTAGAGGAGAAGAAGTGAGAGCACTTATTCAACAGATGAAAAGGAGCCGTATAAAAAAGGGAGAACATAAGCTAAGCCAACCTGTGCTTAATGAGGACGTAGAAAGAACTTTTGGTCAGGCCCCTTTAGATGACGTGGAAAGAACTTCCGGTCAAGTCCCTTTAGGTCCTCCTCCATATTAACATGGAGCCAATGGGCATACGTTTTGCCCGGATACTTGGCGGACTGCCCGAGCAGAACTCGCCTTCCCAGTTTTTCAAGACGGTAATCAACAGAGATTTCATGAGCCTCTAGAATTTAAAGCAATTAAGTCCCTGGCTGAGTCTGTTCGGACGTATGGGATTACAGCCTCTTTTACTGTAGCTCAAGTGGAAGCTATAAAGAGATACTACATGACCCCCTCTGATTGGGCAAGCCTAGCACGGGCATGTTTGAGTCCAGGCCAATACTTGGATTGGAGGGCATTTATGCTGGAATTTTGTAATGAACAGGCAGCCATCAATCAAGCAAACGGACACCAGGCTTGGGACAGAGATATGCTCTTAGGACAAGGCCGCTTTGCTAATGCTCAGACAGGATATCCCCCTGAAGTGTATCAACAGATAAATGATGTTTGCATTAGGGCGTGGAAATCACTACCAAATAAGGGGGAAGTTAGTGGCAATCTCACCAAGATCCTGCAGGGGGCTACTGAGCCTTTTTCGGATTTTGTGGCCAGAATGGTGGAAGCAGCAGGCAGAATTTTTGGGGACCCTGACATGGCCATGCCTCTTATAAAACAATTAGTCTATGAACAATGCACCAAAGAATGTAAAGCCGCCATTACCTCGTATAAATATAGAGGGTTGGAGGCCTGGATGAAAGTGTGCAGAGAGCTGGGAGGACCTCTAACTAATGCAGGCCTTGCCGCCGCAGTACTACAGTATTCAAATAGGCAGGGGGTGGGGGGTGAAGCTCTGGAGTGACATCTGGAGCATGCTTCAAGTGTGGCAAGGCTGGTCATTTCAAGAGAGATTGCCCAGAGAGAAAAGGAGCCGAAAGAGTTGGAGGATTACAACGGGTAAACAGCCAGGGCTGTGCCCCAGATGTAAAAAAGGAAAGCATTGGGCCAATGAATGTAGATCAGTCAGAGATGCTATCGGCCAGCCCTTGGGCCCCATCACGCAGCCAAAAAAAGGGCAAAGGGGCCCCCGTCCCCAGGGCCCGCAAGTGTATGGGGCAATGGAGAGCTCAAACGAGGAAATTCCCCAAGAAGGATGGCCTACCCTGAGGCATCCCAAGAACCGCAGAGAGCCACTACAGGCTCGGCGGGACTGGACCTCCGTGCCACCACCAGACTCATACTGACCCCACAAATGGGCGTTCAGTTAGTAGTCAGATTTTCAAGGTCCTTTAGAATGGGGCACAGTGGGGTTACTAATTGGCCGGTCTTCTGTTGCCCTTAGAGGGCTTAAAATTCACCCAGGAGTTATTGACCCAGATTATACAGGTATAGTTAAAATTATGGTAGAAGCTCCAAAAGGCATTGTAGCAATTTCCCCTGGAGACAGAATTGCCCAATTGTTACTCCTGCCTAGCTTACATGAAAAATTTCCTGCCGTACAGTCTGAGAGAGGTGAAAAGGGTTGTGGCTTCTCCGGAATTGAGTCAGTGTACCTAGCCCTGGATTTCGACCAGAGACCCATGCTTGAGCTGGAAATTGAAGGAAAAAGGATTATAGGACTGTTAGACACAGAGGCCGATCGTACCATTATTGCAAAAAAGGATTGGCCGAGAGGGTGGCCATTACAGGCCTCAGAACAAACTCTGAGAGGGCTAGGCTATGCCAAAGCTCCTGACTTAAGTGCAAGACCCCTCAACTGGAAGGATGGAGAAGGACACTCTGGAAACATCCAGCCTTATGTTTTAGAATTGCCTGTCTCCCTGTGGGGTCGAGATTTACTAAAAGAGATGGGGTTTTGCCTTAGTAATGAATATTCTCCCACCTCGAAGGAAATGATGTTACGAATGGGCTACTGCCCAGGGCAAGGACTGGGAAAAAACTTGCAAGGCCGTAAAGAACCTATTGATGTCCACCAAAAACTTGATAGACATGGGCTGGGTTTTTCATAGGGGCCGCTGAGGATCAAATTCCCATTACCTGGAAAACGGAGGAACCGGTATGGGTAGCTCAGTGGCCTCTATCCTCCGAAAAGCTTTTAGCCGCTCATAAACTGGTAGAAGAACAAGTAGCCCTGGGCCATGTGAGACCCTCAGTTTCACCATGGAATACTCCAATATTTGTGATAAAGAAAAAGTCGGGTAAATGGCGATTACTTCATGATTTGCGTGCCATAAACGCACAGATGCAAATTATGGGCCCTGTACAAAGAGGGTTACCTTTGCTTTCTGCACTTCCTGCCCATTGGCCTATTATGGTAATAGACATAAAAGATTGTTTCTTTTCTATCCCCTTGCATTCCACTGATTGTGAGCGCTTTGCCTTTACTGTGCCCTCTTGTAACCATGAGGAACCTGACCAAAGATATGAGTGGGTTGTGCTGCCTCAGGGTATGGCCAACAGCCCCACTATGTGTCAGCTGTTTGTCGGCAGGGCTATAGCTCCTGTTAAAAAAAGGCATCCAAAACTCAGGGTGGTCCATTATATGGATGACATTTTGTTAGCTCATAAGGAAGAGGCTGGGTTACAAAAGGCTTATGCAGAATTGGTTTTTGCCTTAAGGGAACAGGGTCTTTATCCGGCGCCAGAAAAAATACAAACAGGCAGAGTGGTGGAGTATCTGGGAGCTAAGATACATCCCAGGTCGATCATGCCCCAGAAATTGACCCTGAGAAAAGATAACTTAAAGACTTTAAATGATTTTCAAAAATTGTTGGGGGATATTAATTGGATAAGGGGGTATTTAAAATTGCCAAATTATGAATTAAAACCCTTATTTGATATGCTAACAGGAGATATAGATTTAAACTCCCCATGAGACCTGACTGAGAGCGCCCGATTTGCTCTTAAAAGGGTGGAGGAGGCTTTAAGTGCCGACTGTTTAAACAGGCTACAAGATGGCCAACCTTTTGATTTATGCATTCTTCCTACTGAGACCCAACCAACTGGGGTACTTTGGCAAAAGGGGCCGTTGATGTGGTTACACCCTCATGTTTACCCCGGAAAGGCGCTGGAGTATTACCCTGAGGTGGTAGCGGGCTTAGCTCTACAAGGAGTTCAACAGAGTTTACAATTTTTTGGAGTTTATCTGCACTCCATCATTGTTCCCTACAATGCCTACCAAGTTCAGACTTTATGTGCCACTATTGATAATTGGTCCATTTTGAGATGCAAGTTTCCAGGAGATATTGATAATCATTTGCCCAAAGACCCCCTACTAAGATTTGTAAAGGAACATCCAGTGATTTTTCCAAAGGTAACTGCCCAAAAGCCTATTAGAGAGGCTATAAATATTTTTACAGATGGCTCCAAAACGGGATGCGGGGTATACGTTGCAGGTAACCAAGACCCCGTGCAGCATCAATTTGTCCCCGGTAACCCACAGATTGTTGAGTTGATGATTGTAATTGAAGTATTTAAAGCTTTCCCCTATCCCTTTAATTTAATATCAGATTCAGCCTATGTAATAAATGCTTTAAAAATATTGGAAGCGGTTGGTACAATAAAGGCTACCAGTTCTGTTCTAGCTCCCTTTACCTTGCTACAATCCCTTATATGGCAACGCAAGGAACCCTTTTTTCCAATGCATATTCGAGCACATACGGGCCTTCCAGGGCCACTGACAAAGGGTAATGCCTTGGCTGATGCGCACACTCGTGCTGAGTGGGCGCTCCATGCTTCTTCTGTTGACTTAGCAAAAGATTTTCATGCCAAATTTCATGTAAATGCCAAGACTTTACAAAGCCGCTTTTCCCTTTCTAGAGCGGATGCACGTCAAGTGATAAAGGAGTGTCCTCGATGTATTATTTACCATAAGCCCCCTACGTTTGGAGTTAATCCACGTGGTTTAAGACCCTTACAAGTATGGCAGATGGATGTAACTCATGTACCTGAATTTGGCCGTTTAAAATATCTACATGTTTCTGTTGACACCTTTTCGGGTGTTGTATTTGCCACCCCCCTGTCAGGGGAAAAGGCTACTGATGTAATATCTCACTGCTTGGAAGCATGGGCAGCCTGGGGAATGCCAAAACAGCTAAAAACTGATAATAGTCTGGCCTATACTGGGCAGCGCTTTGTTTCCTTTTGCACTCAGATGGGTGTTACCCTGGTGCATGGACTGCCCTATAACCCTCAAGGACAAGAAATTGTGAAAAGAGCTCATCGCACTATCAAGGAAATGTTACAAAAACAAAAAGGGGGAGCTGGACCCCTGATGGCTACAGCAAGACAAAGAATAGCCATGACACTTTTCACCCTAAATTTTTTGAATTTGGATAACGCTGGTCGCTCAGCGGCGGATAGGCATAACAGTTCCACTCCTTCGGCCTTAGGATCAGCTTTGTGGAAGGATGTGCTCACGGGGCTCTGGAACGGGCCTGACCCCGTGCTGGTATGGGCACGAGGATCTGTTTGTGTTTTTCCTCAGAATCGTTCGGATCTAGTGTGGGTGCCTGAATGACTTGTGCGGCGAGTCCAAGATGAGCGGAACCCGGAAAAAACAAAAGATTGCGTTGCTGATCATACAGCTCCTGATGATCCAACAGGGACAGATGGTACTGAGGTGGGGAATACTGTCTGCATTCCCGAGGCCCATGCCCGTGAGACATGACGCCTCTCTTTTCCCTAAATTTTTCACCACAAATAAGACTCTTAACCTTCCCTTCTACCCAGAGGATAAAGAAATGGCAGGGGTTGGTGAAGCTAGAAAAATTAGCTTGATGGGCACGCTATGCTTTTGCTTAAGTGATGCGACCCTTAATGGTAGTTGCATAGCCTTGACTCATTCCCCGGCTGCTTATTTTAGATATTGGTATGGGAATCCGAGATCAACTGAGGCTTGGGCAAATGCTACTGGGTTTGTTGGTACTGTTTTAGGCAGATATTATAAAAGTTTAAGTTAAGTAGAGACCCGTGGCCTGTAAAACAACCTAAATGGGCCCCTTTTTGCTTGCCTGACCGTATGGGGGAGGCTTGGCCCTGGACAGGTTGCCACTCACGACAGGTTGTTTGGGCTGATGAGTCTGAGCATTTTTCATTTTCCCCTAGTGTCTTGTCCAATGCTAGTGTACTATTTAGGGATGGAATTAATCCCTTTAATAATTGGCTGTTATGTGGTCTTAATGGAAGTTGCTTGCAGTCCGAACCTATAGTTATGCTGCAAGGGGGTCAATTTTTTATAGCAAACATGACTTGTAATGTGATTAGTACTGCCCATACTGTAGGCGCCAATTGTCATTTTAGTAAGAATTATACGGTAATCAGCTATCAGCCTACCCCCATGTGTGTGGTTTCCCCTTTTGTGTTTTTGGTAATTAACGACACTTCTGTATGCTCAGATGATGTGTGTGCTTGTACTAATGAAACCTGCTATTATGCTACCTGCTGGAGTTCTCAGTATCCGTTAGCTATAGTTGCACGCATTCCGCGTTGGGTGCCTGTGCCAGTAGATGCTTCTCAAGCTGTAACCTTGTTTAGGCATAAGAGAGATTTTGGCATCACTGCGGCCATTGTAACTGCTATAGCTGTGGCTGCCGCGGGTGCGACGGCTGCCGCTGTCGCCATTTCACATACTGTGCAGATGGCTCAGACTTTAAATAACCTGTCGGCTACTACAGCCAGAGCTCTGGATTTACAACAAGTGGCCATTGCACAATTAAAAGGAGGACTGATGCTGTTAAATCAAAGGATTGACCTTGTGCAGGAACAGGTTGATAGCGTGTGGCAGTTGGCTCAGCTGGGATGTGTTCAAAAATATGAAG